TTCTCCCCACTTCAGCGTCAACTCACTTTATGGCACATGCAACTTTGCATTACCTGCGTCACATTCAATCAACCAACCAACTACGCCAGCAGGAGGACTAGAAAGAGGAAATGAACAGTAGAGAGCACAGTAAAGGGTATCACAAGAAAGTAACGGCAATTTACGTGTCTCTACAGGTTGCAATGAAGTACTGCAATAAATCTTTGACTATCTGGTACAAGGTCAAAAATAAGTACCAAAAGTTCAATCACTGATGGTCCCTATCTCTTCCCCTCCCTCTTTGGATACTTTTAAAGAGAAAATTTGCAAAAAGCTTATCCGAGAGACTAGTAAATAAGCGCAGAAAAGGTAAGTCGGGCAAAATCTTTTGACAAAGCCAAATGTCACTCCTCATGCCCTCGGGTTAGAGCTTCGACTGACAATGATTAATGCGCTTCAAAGTTGTATCATGAAGACAAAAAAATGGCCTCGTTAAAATGAAAAAAATTAAGGAAAAAAAATACTTCGAGCTAGCGTCCTCACACCGTGTAGAAGTGATAATTGCGCTAAAGGGATCGACATCTCCCTTGACGGAACTTAAAAGCACGACAAGAGCCAATTGATTGGTAACGTTTGTGAAATTTTTAACTTTAAAGCAAAAGCTTTGCCAAAATATTTTTAATAAAAAATGTGAGAACAAAGTTCACTAATATCCAAGTCATGAGAATTGAGGAGATGGAAATCGCACGGGGAAGGATTACTCAAGGGATTTTTGAAAACTAAATGAACCGGTTAGATGTACATCACTGCTTACCGTTGAACCGTTTTATTAACACAAATCAGTGCCATAAGCCTGTTCAAAGGGGAAAAAGAGGTGATTCAGTCTTCTCAAAGTATGCGAAAGACTCAAAGTTTTCAAGATTATTGCACGCATTAATCCCATAAAACTATCACATGCAGAGAAGGCATTAAGAGTGAGAATGGCAAAATTAGCAGTTCGTACGCATCTACCGGAGGCTAAAATTAGCTGCCTCTTGGGGTGAATTTACACAAACAAATGCCTTTATAAGAGAGAAAATTAATCATCAGAAAAGAAAGCATCAAAGAGTTTATTTACTTTTTCTTTCTTAGAATAGGTTATGAAGGTGCTAATTGCGCCTGAGAAGTGACTATAAAGGAATAACTCAAAATATGCCGAGAGCACAAATGTTTCGACGGTTTTGTCCTTGAGTAGAGCGAACCGAGTTTGCATTACAACTACAAATTATGAAGAAGTGAAGATTCAAAAAATGGAGTGCATGAGTTCGGTGGAAAGCAAAACGTGCATTTAGCCCATCCATAGACGAGGTGGATGAACCGACAATAAAGTAGGAGATTAGAGATGGACGAACTAGAGGGTTGGATTTGTCTTTGCCCCTTCTTAACAACTCGAGAGCAATTAAATGGAATGGTCCAATGCATAAACTTTGAGTTTGCTAGTGTATGCGAGGCAGAATCATTACTGTGATACGGACAATGAAAAGAGCCCACCTCTCTACAAACCGTAGAAATCTGTCCCTCGTCCATGAGAGTCTCGGTGACCACCTCGGTTAGAGAGCCTCCATCTAGGTATTCCATGACAACCCAAAGTTCATCCGCCTCCACTAGATAGGAATCAAGGTAGTTGACCACGTTGACGTGTTTATTTCCCTTCATCACGAAGATTTCGTTCACGATCAACTCTTTTTTGGGCTGCAATTTTAAGTTCATCTGCTTGATGGCCACGCGTCGACCCGTGGCAATCTCAACACCCAGACTCACTATCCCCGTCGCGCTAAAATGTAACAGAGAAAAAGGATAAGTGTGTACAGGCAAACTCATAAAGAGACGGTTCCAAAAAGTTGTAAGAACCAATATTTAAACCAGAATTGGCAAACCTTAATGTTTGTCTTTTTTCGAGGAGAAGGGAAACTACAGGTTGCATGGATTAACACTAGTTGGGTTTTCGGCCAAACAGTCAAAGTACGGTAGATTTAGCTGAGAGAAAAAAAAACAAGCTCGGGTGCAATTTGCCTTTACACACAGTGGAACAAGGAGTGGCGTTGCTTAATTCGGGGCAGGCGAAGAGAAAATGGTCAACAAATTATGACATCTAAATTAAGCACGTGATTGAATACAGCAGAAGCTGCCAAGTTGCCAAAAAAAGTTCGGTCAGTGTTTGGATCCCCTCGCCGCAGTGGCACATGATGATCTGCAAGATGTGCGTGGGCGTTTCTAGTCATGTGGCCTAAAGCGCGGACGCCCAATCGGTCCTCTTGGACAACATACTGTGATGCTCTTCTTTGTCATTCACTCGCCTTCCCAACCCACTTAATCACGGTCTTAATTGAACGGGAAGGATGTAACTCGATTTAACTTACAGTACGAAGTAAAGTTAGGATGGTAGCATTTGAAGAGAAGGTTGAATCACCCAAAAAGGGGTAGAGCACAAAACTACACAAAAAGTGGATAGGAAATAAGCGGTACATTAAGGAACACGAGGAGAGATGGCGAAACATCTACACCGGATGAGTTCAACAAACGACAAGCCTCAAAGTTTTCCGATTCAACGCTATTAGAAGTGTTCAACATATTCAGTGATAACAACTGATTGACAGAAAGATTTGTTTGTTAATAAAAATAGTATTTGCATTCCAAAGCACACCGTGCCAATGATGATCCCGGACAATGGTACGGGTGTGATGAATAGTAGATGCTACCTACTGATAGTGAATTACCTCTGGCATTTATCCTTTTAGTACGGCATAATTCAAATGTAGTTAAAAACTCCCCATCACTCAGAAACATCATGAACCACTACAAAGTTCCACGTCGCTCTCTAGAACGGGGGAAAAGAGGGAGAGGAGGGGAAGGTGAAACACCAAACAGGTAAGACAATAGAGGTGAAGCACCTCACAAAGGTTAAATATGCAGTAAGCTTGTGGTCAAGTGGAAAAGAATCATCAAGTATAAAAAAACACGAAAAATTCACCTGTAGTAATTGCTTTTTTATCGCAAATCTACTTACCTGTGCTATATTCGTGATCAACATCCCACTGCGATTTATTTGCAGGTCAATGACCTGGTTTTATGGAAAGTTTATTGTGTGCTGTTATGTGGTTAAGGCAAGAGAGGGAAGTTGCCCACTGCCAAGAGAGGGGGCGCATTAACGCTTTTCACGTGGAAAAGGACCACTTTCTAGGTCCAAATGGTTGAAAGCCAAAACAGCAAAAATTATCTCAATAGTTTTTTTTTGTTTCAAAGTGCGAAGATGAAGGAAAGTTAAAAAGATGCATCAGGATTTAGCACCAGCTTTTGTGGGAGATACGACTACATGATGCATGAATGAGCAACTCCTTCACTTTTATGTGTAAGCCGGATAGGGGTAGTCTATGTGCGCCCAAAAAATACTTCCGTTTTGAAGTCAACTAATAGAGGCCAATCGTCCGTATTACCCAATTTTTTGCTGGTGTCGATCCTATGCCCTCACCTCATAAAATCGAAGAGGTCGTGTCAGTCTGCCTGTAATAAAGCCGTGTCAGGGATCGCCATTGATTCCCTTAACCACAAGGTGCAGGACGGGAGCGGAATCATCCGTTAAACCAATGATCTTTAACAATTCCAGGAGGTATTATTATCCCTGCAGACGGTGTATAAATTTGGCTACTTAGTGGAAGCATAATTATGCCTATAAAGCAACAAAATGTAGGGCGCCTCAGGTTCGCTCGAAGTAAAAATAGATTACAATCTACTTTTAAGGTAATTAAAAAGGTTTATTTTAGAAACGAATTCATTGACACAGACTCAACTGTTTTGTCGCTTCTGCAGCCATTCATTTACCTATGCAATCAGGCATCCAGCATATCCACTATGAGCAGAGTGTCAAGACTTCCTCTTTTTGATGCTATCACTTCTATAGAAGTAACCACAAGACGCACACAGAGAGAAAAGGAGAGAGGAAGAGAACGAAGCCAAACCATACAATCTGTTAGTCCACTGCAATGCCAGAATCTGCATTTCAGTGTGTGTGTTTTAGGTGTGCGATGAGGGAAGAAGCGCGCAAACCGCAAATAAGCGCACCGCTCACACGCTCATGTGAATACGTTTATTGGGATTATTGCTAAGTGAACAGATGAGCCGTGTATATGTTTGTGATGAGAGATACAAAGGCTACACATGAATACGCATAAGTGTACGAACATGGACAGACACGGACATTGGACATTAAGGCCCACAGATGTCAGCACTGACAAATTTGCGTGATCTGAAGATTGTAAAAGGAAAGAAAAGTCGCACAAGTTCGTAGAGGAAAGCAGGTGGGTTGCTTGGACTGTCATTTTCGTAAATTTAATCTTTGACATTATCAAGTTATTTGAGGTGCGAGGGAAGACACGCAAGTCGCAAGAGCATACAAACGTAGACCAGAAACCAACCCATTTTTCCGTCTGGGTAGAGTTCAGCAACCCTTAAGCCTTGATTGCATTACGAATGACAGTCCATTCAATAATTTATAAAAATAGACGCAACTAAGATACTACTCAATAAAACCTAGGAAGGGGATCGTTGAATTGTAAGATCCTATGACAACAGTAAATAGAACTTTTCAGTACAGCTGCTGTAATTTGGACAATATTAACGGCAAGAAGGTTGTGATCAAATGGTAAAAGTAACTTGAAATACTAAGGTATTCATAAGCTTTTCGCCCTGAATAGGGGTGAAAAGCGAAGACATAAATCAAAGAAGCCAAGGGGCCGCAAAGCAAAGGGGTTGGAATTGGGAAGGACACCTTGGCAAATCCCGAAAATAATAATGGATGGAGACAATGGACAAATGGATTGGTGTCCCTTTTTCAACGAAGTTGAATTAAGGGTCCTTTGGTTGGTTAGGAGGATGATTAAGTAACCAGTATCTTGGTGATCTGATGTGCCTTGAAGGTGTGCTTACAATGTTGGAAATCGTTAGCTGTCTTTTTTGATAAGGAAAAAAGAAAACAAGTTGTACCTGCTACTTTACCAACTGCAAAGTACAGCTCACAACCTCATTATAAAATCGAATTGTAGAAAGTGGGGGAGGATTTTATAAACACCACACAGTAGAGAGAAATAAGCCAAAATGATTTGAGGGGTAAACGAAGTTCCTGATTTACGCACCAAAATCTTCATATTTCAGACTTCAGAGAAAACTGGCAACTTGACTTAGAGAAAGCCCAAACAATGGCCTTACAAAATCACATCACATGTAGTACTTAAAATAGACCACCTTGGTTGTTTGAGGCGAACCTGGTACCGAACTTAACCTGCATACGAATAAAAAAAACGATAGAAAACATTGAAAGGGGATACCATCCTACCCCCAAGCAGCGAGGTGATATTCATATTTGGAAAAGTCCAAACGTAACTCGTAGCTGAAGAATAGACTGACATCGTGACAGTGGAGTGAAACAGTGGATGGTGAGCGTATAGCAAGCTAGAAAAGATGGCACACGAATGGAGAGACAAATGGTGAATGGGCATTGTAACAATAAAAACGGCAACGGATTTAGTTACGGTATTTATAACTTGGTGCAGTGAGCCAGTAGCGCGCCGTTGTTAGACAAAGATGAAATTTAAAAATGAAAATACGTTTCTACAGTGGGTGACAAGGCCGCAGGAGTAGGAGACACATCAACTTCCCCTACAATCTTGACAAGACAGGAATGCATGGATGGGTGCACTGTGACACCGAAAGCAGAGACAAAGGGCAGGACTTGAGGCAGCCACGCAAATAAGACTTGAAAAGGCTACACATGTGAAAATGGGTATCCCAAATGGACTGGTTGAATTTCCATCTACACTCTTTCGATCAAACCATAGACATGTGTCATCCGAGTTTCGCTGGGCTTTCTTGCCTTCATTGGGGTACGATAATTCATACTGTATACAGAGTATCTGAGTTGTTAACAAATGAAGAGATGCACACAGTCCGAGAGGAATGAAATTTGTCACAGTCCCGAGTTGTTGCATGCAAATTCTTCAAAAATTAAGGCTAATCAAGTTCGTAGTATAACAGCAGAACATTCAAAATGCCTCGGTTGGATTTTGCAATACTGACTAGTTACAATATGGGGAATCATGAAATGATCCTGTATTCGACAAAAGCATCTCGGTAACATGAAAGGCAGCTGGTCCAACTCACCCTTGTCCAATCTTCTCCAGCTTGCGATATTTATCTGTGGGACTGCCTTCACTAACCAGGAGTCTGAGGTGAGCATACACCTCTTCGTCGGTCATCTTAGACTTCATTTTGGCCAAAATGGCATTGTGGTCGCCTTCATGGTTATGAGGATGATGGTTCTTGTTATTACTATGATGACAATCCTGTTTGCCAGAAGTCAGGTCAACAGGAGCCGTTGCGACCTTGGTGGGAGGAGAGGATGGGGTGGGGAACTGGCCATCACTACCACCACTGCCGCAGCTGCCAGCTGCACTCACCGTTGTAGTGCACGGGATTGGACATTCAGAGGATCGTGTGGACTTCTGCGCGCTGGAGCAATTAGGAATATTTTGATGGTGCGGCTTGGGCGTTGCATCCGGAGCTTCAACGGGGATAGTATACTGAATATATAGAAAGTAGATTTGTCGGAAATTCGCTCCAATTCAGAAATCTGTTTGTTTTATCACTAAGGTAGCATAGGATCCATTTAAAACTATTCACCTCAAACCACGAAAGTCTTAATAACATCGGGCACACTTTGATGGCCAAGGCAGGAGAGTGGTCATGCCGGTTCTGTCAATAACACTTCAATGAAAATGAATCTTCAACGGTGTATCCCCAAGCCCCTTTGGAGGGGCTTTTAGATGGTGATGCACCACAAGGGCTCTTACTGTAATCTCCTTCGAACTGAATGTTTATGATGAGCATCTCACCCCAATTCTATTGACTAGATTGCATATCTAAATGGCGCCATTTATGTAAGATTGAATGTGCGAAAAATTATCGAGACCAACTTGACTTCCAACAACTCTCCTATTTTCATATTTTTCATAATGATCAAAATGAAAGGCATTAAAAAAACCGAAAACTAATGTCGCAGAGGACTGAAAATAACCCGGATAATTAACTGACAATTTTTATGATGTTACTAGGGCCAACTTGAGTGCTATCGCCTCTACGATGTCAACGTGAGATTCTAAGCGTCCCATCTGCAAGATAAAAATAAGCAGAATTAAAAACGCTTGTGACAAAATCTTGGCGTCAAGGTGTGAGCAAAATCCGTTTATGAAATGGGAGTTTTGACCACAGAAATCATTTCCTTAAAACTATTCTTAAACTAGAACAAGGTGGTTGAACAGCGTCCAAAGATCATCTCAAGTGTATCAGGAGAGGTGAGATTGGAATCATGAACAAACACGTGCTTTTGGAAGACTCTAAGGCTAAACTTAGCTAAAACAAAACACGCATTCAGTGCCATTACTGTATGATTCCATGCAAAGAACGCGTAAGAAGCTGGTTGTAAGGTCAAGAAGAACCTGTGGTCCCGCATAGTTCTTGCAGAATGCGATGGCTACATCCAGTTTCTTGCTTAGACTAGCAATAACCGATTTTAGTTATTTTTGTGAGCGTAGGTACAAACTCATGTGTGTTTACCTAAAGAGAATGACCCACGACTGGACGATTTCGACCAACCCAAAGGTCGGTTCAAGATCAAAACAACTCAATAAATTGGAAAATAAGTTGAAGCAGAATCAGAAGAACTGTAGTTTTGAGCAGGCTCAGATGCCAAAGCAGACATATGGACGAATCACAAGGCTTTAGACTCATATTTCCACCATTTTCTGCGATGGTTGATTTCGTTTGTTGGGTAGAAATGAAACAAAAAAACAATTAAATTGTTAATGCGCAAATTCTGGGAGCTCTTATGCTCAGAATTGGAAACTAGTAACTTTAGAGGTCAGCTTGACGATTGTGTCTTCAGATATCATTCCTTTTGGATTTACATCCCGTTGTGCCTCATAGTTGTGACTGTGATCTAGCAGATATACCAAGTGCCTTTTCAGTCAATCCAATGCAATTCTGGAGCCTCAAATGGATGATGGAAGTACTAATAAGGTACGCACACAAACAGATTTGTAAAAATGATGCATCTAGCACAAATATAGAAAGCATGGTAGTATCCTTTAAAGCTCTATACAATTCACGCCAAATAGTGGAATGGTTGAGGATTAGGAATTCGAAACGGAGTTGGATTTCTGCAAAATTGCTTAAATTCTCCCTTGATTAGGTATCAAAATTTAGTGTCACGCAGGTACTGAAGCCACGAATACTGCGCAGTTATAAAATTCACGTTCACAACTCTAGTTTTGTGTGACACAAAAAACGTAGAGACGCCCTCCTCACATTCCTGTCGGCTATCAAAGAACCCAAATGGGCGATTGGATGACATTGGAATGGCAGGATGGCAACGAGGAATGCATTCACATGAGCTGTCCTACGAAGTCACATTGAATCGTATTAATCGTTAAATGGCCCTATCTTTAGGCAGATATCCCGACAAACTATAGATACTACACAAAATGCTCTTTCCATAGAGTAATATAAGGTTAATAAATATCTGCAAATCAGTGCCCAAGAATCAGTTTGAATAGGTTTTGGTGGTCTAACATTCCTTGAATTTACAACAGCTATCTGCAGATTAATGTATCCTATCAGGACTTTGAAGGGAAGGTGAGGGCTACACGACTAACACATTTCAGCTCACAATGGATTTAGTTTGCTCGGGCCGAGAGGCGACAGGAGGGGGCCGTTGGATAGGGGGACTGCCACGCCGGGTGGCAGTGTTGGGGGCGGGTAGAGGTGCAGGAAAGCGGCGACGAGTGGTCTGAGGTGAAGGTGGTTGAAGGAGAAGGGGTAGTGGGGTTGTTGAGGGCGGAAGACGTAGTCGATTATTCGTACTGTTGCTGCTGCTGCTGCTGCTGCTGCCGCCACCACCACTACTACTACTTTCTGAGGACGTCGGTGGAAGTGCTGATGTGGAAGTGCCACCGCGACGTGGGAGAGTGGAGGCGTGTGGCACCTCGTCCTAAAACACATGGAAAAAGTTTAAATTGTGAGGGCACGAACACAATGCATAAGAACGAAAAAACGAAGTTGACGCCTGTCATTCGTTAGGCTGATAGCCCCTTCCCGTCTTAGAGCAAATGGGGCAGATCCCCAATCAACGACAAAATGGAGTTTCTTTCCATTCACAAATGTTAGACTCAACAATGCGCCCTGTTTCTAGTTACATCTTTGAAGTTCAGCTCAAATAAAAGTAATTTCCTGCTCAGACTATGTCTACGGATAGATTTAAATTTTTACCGAAACCTCTGCTACTTCTTATTTAACCTTCAATGCTCAATATGGATAGTTAAATTAATTCATAAACTAGGTCCAAGGGAAGAAAACAACTCCCTTTGAAAGCGAAATGAGTCACCAGCTTGAGAAAGAGCCTTCTACAAAAACGTACACGCACAAGCCCAGGATTAACTTTTGCCTCTTTCCTCAGTCCTAGCGCTTAAAGATTTTGCACACAAAATTGTACGGCGCCATGGTGTGGAGCTAGTGATTGTGAGAAGGTGGAAGCCTTGAGATGCAAAAAACTTACGATCTAGTAAATAAATCTTGCACAAAAAGCAGACGTTTAGAAGCGTGAAAAAACTCGATGTCTTTTTCTCGTAGTAATCTCTGAGGCTACAGGCCTGATAGACACAACGAGATGGAGTAATTTTTAGAGCGTAATTGCAGTCAATATGGGTAGAAGTAAAGGACCACTTACGTTTAGACAAAGGAACCAGACCAATCCAAACAATTTGATGCTAAGCATAAAGCCCCGATGGATTTCAGTCCCGATGCTTATGTAAGAACCACTCTGCCTCCCCAGTTTTCAAACTCGTCTTGTAGATGTCCAGACAGGGATAACCAAAGCTCTGCTCTTCCTCCTTCTCCTCCCTGTAATGCTCTACGTTTAACCTGGTTACTCTAAGTCTGGTATTTTTCCACTAGGGGACATCGCCTCCAATCGCTGTCAGCAGCCTTCAGCACTTCCGTGAATTGGAAATATATATTCTGCCTCAGAGGAAACTCAGTATGCCACGTATCTAATGCCTGTTCTCAAAGCTCCTCCATAACCTTTTTTGCAGAGGATGCCGTAATCAATACAAGTCATAAAATACGCCGAAGTTGACACCATTCGGATGTTTAAGTCTTTATTTAAGGGATCAAAAAACTCATCGACCTAATGAATTTGTTTACAGTCATTTTAACCGAGACAAGTGACGGTATACCGATGTAAAATCAAGACACTCATGTTAATATGTGAGGTCATGCCGACAGCGTGATAGTGGCAGACGCCACGACAGGTGACTAAAGGTAGTGAATGACAAGTCAATTCATCGAAAAATAAACCAATAACAGACTATTGGTCTTAAAGAGTAGAAAAGTTAATTAATAAAAACAGAAAATGAGAGACTCCGATGCGAAGAGGGATTTGAATTTCTCGTAGCCCTTCTCTGAGCGGTTCAATTAAGCAGAACGATGGGGAAGAACCGGACTTTTCTGCTGCCTCCGCTCAAGATTGCCTCAGGGAATACGGTGCGTGAGTAGGCGTTTTTATGGACCGAAATGAAAT